TCACTGGGACAAGAAGTTTATTTGCCTGACGTTTCGGATTCTCACTCGAATCCATCATCAGAGACATTCGCAGATTGGGGTTCCGCATTAACGCCAATGAGAACCTTGTCTCTCGGGCTTGCGCATGCACTTGAGTGTGGTCACCGCTTCAATTGTGACGGGACTGAAGTGGTCCCTAGTGCTAACACTAAGCAGGCGCGAGAATTTCTCGAAGTTTCAACCGCCATGTCGACCTGAACGCAAAGTTTGCGTTCACGGCCCACTGGCTTGCGCACACCCCAAAGCAACAGCTGCTAGTTCGTGTTCGGCCACGTATAACCACAGATTTCGCCCCTCCCTGATACAGTGAACCATAGCTGGAATCCTCAACACCTCATATCTTTCAACACCTATCTTAACACGCTACTCATCCCCCCACATGGACGCCTGTTTTATCGATGTAACCTCGATGTCTCCAAGCCCTCCGGTGTGGTTATCCCACTCTACACTGTTCATTTTATCTGACGATAGGTTGGTGTAACCAGTTTGGGAATTCAAGAATAAAACTCGGATTTCCGACAAGCCTTCTCCTTTCGTGATGGCGGCCAATAAGCCAGAAGTGGCATGCCGACCTCCCTTGGTTTTGTTAGGCGATCGCCTTCCCGTCCTCTTTTATTCAATTACCTGGGCCGCGCATATTCTCTACCATGTCGAATATATAGGTATATATTAAAGGAGAAAGCTCGTCGGAGAGAAGAATTTTACTCATAAATTTTGAAGTTTGTTACACCAACCCGTCGTCAGACGAAGTGAAAAGTAAGAGATGGGGTTGTCGCACTGGCGTTTGACGACGCAGACAGAGAGATAAGCAGACGACCTTGAGAGGGGGTGCGCATCGTGTTTTGATAGGTGCCGGAAGTGAGGGGAAGCGTTTTGCGTCTCAGTTGTGGTTCCCCGTGTTTGGTGGGGGGTGGAATGAGGAAGGAATGGCGTGTCGGCGTGATCCTAAGTGTCCGGGCATGCATTAGTAGTTGTTGTCATTAGAGTGGGCACCAGACAGTCAACCGTGATCGGAGATCATCGTAGTGGACATCTAGGTCGATATGGTGACTGATGCTGTCCACATTGGAATACCAGGTCTGAGGAATTCTAGTGCCTGTTTAGTGTTTGACATGGCGACCACTTCAGTGCCGTCCCAATTGAAACGTTGACCACGAAAGATAGGGGTCACGTCGGCGGATAGCGAGCTTGTGTTCGTTAATGCGAGTCCCAAGTCGTCGACCCGTGTGCCCGACACAAACGCAACGGTAGTTAGCGCACGGGGTACAGTAAATGAGGCTAGTTTACTGTTCTTTGGGTATGGGGTCCTTTACGTGGGATAATGCTGCGCGTAAGGAGTACGTTGGCTTGTGTGCGATGCAGATGCTAAACCGGTTTAATTGACGGGCGATTCTTTAAAAAATTCCTTGCATGTAGGGCGAATAATAGTACTTTCTCTGTACCACTTCCCCATTAAAACTCTTATGTTATGGTTGGCTCTGACGTCTGAGACAGTTTTTTACGAAGCTAATTGGATATCCGTTAGATCAGAATGATTGGTATAAGTAGGTTAGTTCTCTCTCAAGTTGATTTTCGCTGCTACAGTACCGAAAGACGCGGGGAAAAGTGTTTGGACGTAGCTTATTTTGTGGGCCGCGGGGTGGTTGCTCTCGTAGCTGAGGAGGAGTTCGGCACTGGAGTCTTTTTTGTGGACGCTGGTTGCACGACTGCTATCATTCAGTCTTCGCACACTGACGTCAGGAAACGGGAAAATGTTCCCTGTTTCTTCTTTACGGGTAAATTGTGTGACGGGGCGGATACTATTAAGACTGGTGCAGTCGTTCGAACTCGCAGTTTTTTACGACAATAAAGGTATCGTCTATGTATTGGAGCCACATTTTTGGTCTGATGACTTTCAAAAATGACAAAGAGGGGGCGAATGCTATTTCATGGATTAAATTGTATCCGCACTAACGTTTCTGATAGTTTCTCGTTTCAGTCGTCAGCTGAGTGAAGTTACTTTCCCTTCTTATTTGTATTCTCAGAAGTTATCTGTCTTCTGCTCCGGAAGAGGTCATGCGGCACTTCTGCTGGAGGAGTAAAATAGAAATTGATTGCGGAAAGTTGTCTTTGCATTCCATGTCTGCATTGCATTTCTGCAGCGCCGCTTCAAAGGATGCAATAAAGACTTCCAAACGAGCATCTCTTGAGCTGTGCCTTTCGTTACAGCACAGAACTGCCAATTACCGCTGCGTGGAGATATGGGAGGAAAAATCGTGTGAGATGACATGATCAAAATAAAGCAGTTATGGCAGCCTTAAATTCTAAAGCAGATGGTCATTGCGTACCCTGCGTTGACACTGTACACTGTCGAGGGTTCGCTGACAAATGATCAGGGAGCTAATACTCACAAATACTGCCTAAATATCACACAGCAGTTGACAGGCAGTTCGAAGTTCTTACGTCAAACGCAATGATAATATTAGACGGGCGCAAAACTGAACATTTCAAGGCCAGCAGGAAAGACCATCATACCGCTCTTTCTGTGCGAACAAGGGAGTTTCCGAGACATCAATGCAAGTAAACCTCGGCACATGAACTCGTGTCCTCTTTGTCTTCTTCCTCTTCGATGGCGTTTGGACACGATATGTACGTATATGTAAAACAAAGTCGGTTTGCATTCAGAGTGAATACATTAAACAGAGATGACACTTCCAAAAAATAAAATCACGTTACAGAACTCGCTCGTCCCGCGGTGCATTGGGGTTCTCTCTCTCGAGCCCCAAATGAAAATTTACTCGTGGGTTTCGAATTTGGTAACATCGCTGTGCTCTCAGACGAAAGGTTTAAATAAGAGGTAAGAGTATCACGTTGGACAGTTTGTAGTCATAATAATTGCACAGTTAGAGCATTGGTAAGTG